TGAGTAACCAATTCATGAAGATAGAGAAGGGCTTTACATGGCCCATCTTTTCATGTAAACTAACCAGTAGAGAGTCCACTTCCCCAACGGTCTTGTTAACAAGCCCTATCGCACCAAACCTGGAATTTCCACAGCCCTAAATCGGCCCGCCACCAAGGACCAGATAATTAGGGACAGCCGCTGTGCCCCAGGGCGAAGTAGCCAGTACTGAGCTCTACCACATGTCCTGCTGTCCCTTTCCCCGACAAAACCGCAACAAGGGCTCTGGCTAGGCTTTCCCGTCTCTCCTGCGTCTGACTCCTGACCAGAACATGATGCTTTTCCCATGTGCCTGTGTGGGATGCTGTCATCGCCCTCTCAGGAAATGTATGCAGTACAAAAATCTTCTTTCAGTTGACATAAGCCTCTCTGTGTCGCCAGTTAGTGTCCTTTGTAAATAAAAACCCAGGCACTAAGCACTCTCTAAGAGATAGATAATAGGCACCTGGATTAAATGTGGTAAAAGTACAAGAACAGGACTGTATAGGAAGGTGACAGGAATACCCATTTGGGTGGAGTCCAGGAACATTAGGATCTGAGCGCATCGGGAATTAGGGTATGAGGTCAGAAGTTGCATGAACATAACATGAAGGCTCACACGTCTGCAGTGTTTACGTTGGCAAGTGTTTTCACAGCCAGAATCTGTGGTGAGATCGCAAGACCCCTGTGAGGAATGCCGACAATGAGCCATCTCACAGGAGGACTCTGCCAATTAGGTACTTTGACATGTATTCCAGGTAACAAAAGGGAACATTTGGGGTGGCTTAAACAGCAGGTATTTTTTCCACAGGTGTGGAGGCATGAAGTCCAAGATCAAGGTGTCAGTCTGCAGGTGTAGTTTTTTGTGACATGTCCTCGGCTTCCAGATGGTCACCTTCCCACTCTGTCCTCCCACACTGTGCCCTCTGTGCAGGTAGAGATCCAAACTCTGTGTGTGTCTCCACATTTCCTCCTATAATGACACAACTCAGAGTGGATCAGGGCTCCTCCTACCGGCCTTAGTTTAACTCCCATCACTTCCTTCAAGGACCTTCCTTCTGAGCTCCTGGGATTTAGGACTTCAGCCTATCAATTCAAGGAGATACAGGTCAGTCTATAACACTCAGCCCTCTGGACTGCCCAAATTCATGTCCTCACTGGCACAGTGCACTCACCCCTCCACCCCATTCCAGTAGCCCCAGAATATTAACTCATTTGGTAAACGAGGCCAAGTCCCAAATCTCCTCTAAGTATCATCTAAGTTAAGTGTGATTAAGACATGAGATATGAGGGGCACCTGAGTGGCTCAGGGAGTTAAGCATCTGACTCTTGGTTTTGGCTCAGGTCATAACCTCACGGTCTGTGTGTTTGAGCCCCTCATCGGGCTCCACACTGGCAGTGTGGAGCCTGCTTGGGATTCTCTCTGTCTCATTCTCTCTCTCAAAATAGATAAATAAACTTAAAAAAAAAGTCTTGCGATATGATTTATCCTGTGAAAAACCTGCCTTCTCCAGCGATAAGCCTGTGAATGCAGACACATTCTCTGCTTCCAGAAATCAATGGTGGGATGGGGAGAGCGTAGACATTCCCATTCCAAAAAGAGAAACTGGAAAGAAGAAATGTCACCTGTCCCCAGTAAGTAAAAAATCTAGGAGGGAAAATTCCCTTAGATTTCAAAGCCCAAGGGTGATGTTCTTGGTCTGGAAGTGTCCTCCGGGCCTAGTGGGATGGTGTCCCTGCCATGCAGCCCCCCTAGAATGCCATTGTCCAGGGGGAGTCCTGTAAGATGAATGATCCTTAATACTCCGCCCCTCCCCTCCCCCCGGATCTCCTGCTGTGTAAGGTGTTCCCTTCCCAGGCGTCCAGGTGTCCCTCCTCCTCTACCTCGGAATGTTCCATGTCATTACCTGTACTTCCGCTCTCTTGCGGCCATCCCATAGTTTACTCAGATGTTTTGCCTGGAAGAACCAGGCACAAGAGGGCCGGTATCCTATACAAATTGGGCCAGAAATGCATTTGACTCACAAGTGCAGATGGTGAGATCCACATTTGTCACCGTTGGAGAGACAGGTGACAGATGAGCAAGGGCAGGAAGTTAGAATGATCCATGAGGAATGGGTTGGAGTTGGAGACATCGGCCTGAAGTCATGTTGGCTCTGTATGGACACCAGTCGCCCCCCACACACGTTTCTACCTATGTGCACACGAGCGGTTCAGCACACACACGTACGTTTTCTTGGTGTTTGAGCTGAGAGGGCGTGAACACAGTGACACCCAGGAGCAGTGAGCATACCTAGTGTCCATGCCTTGGTCCGTGACACGGTTCCCCCACGGCAGCAGCCAGGGGCTGCCTGGAGAGACGGTGCAGCCTGGACTAGGACAGGACGTGTATGAAATCAGCCTGCAGAGCTGCGGTGCCGTAAGTCAGCACATGCGAAACAACTCGGTTTCTAAAAATGGGCTATGTCAGAGGGACACGGGAGTCACCCGAAAGAGCTCCTCATGGTCAAGTCGGAACACCTTGATTTTATTTTATTAAAAAAAATTTTTTTTAACATTTATTTATTTTTTAGAGACCAAGAGACAGAGCATGAGCAGGGGAGGGGCAGAGAGAGAGGGAGACACAGAATCTGAAGCAGGCTCCAGCTCTGAGTTGTCAGCACAGAGCCTGATGCGGGGCTCAAACCCACAAACCGCGAGATCATGACCTGAGCCGAAGTCGGACACTTAACCGACTGAGCCACCCAGGCGCCCCAGAACACCTTGAATTTAAACAAGAGCAGAAGAGGCGGTATTGGTTGTAAGTCAGTATCAAACAGATGTGCAGGAATCGAAACTGATAAGAGGAAATCACTGAATAAATATATTTTTTTTAATGTTTATTCATTTTTGGGAGACAGAGACAGAGCATGAGTGGGTGAGGGGCAGCGAGAAGGAGACACAGAATCCGAAGCAGGCTCCAGGTCCGAGCTGTCAGCACAGAGCCTGACGTGGGGCTCGAACCCACAACCCGAGATCATGACCTCAGCCAAAGTCAGATGGTCAACCGACTGAGCCACCCAGGCGACCCCTTTTTTAAAAAAAATTTTTTTGGGGGGCGCCTGGGTGACGCAGTCGGTTAAGCGTCCGACTTCAGCCAGGTCACGATCTCGCGGTCCGTGGGTTCGAGCCCCGCGTCGGGCACTGGGCTGATGGCTCAGAGCCTGGAGCCTGTTTCTGATCTGTGTCTCCCTCTCTCTCTGCCCCTCCCCCGTTCATGCTCTGTCTCTCTCTGTCCCAAAAATAAAAAACGTTGAAAAAAAATTAAAAAAAAAAATTTTTTTAACGTTTATTCATTTTTGGGAAATCACTGAATAAATAATAAATTGAGAAAAAGGACCTTTTCAGAAGAATTCCACATAATTTATGTAAGAAACGTTGTCCTTAAGGAGGCAGAGCACAAGATCCCTTTCGTTAATGTCAGCCACACACAATGACTTCCTGGCGACGGGTACAATATGAAAGGGGGCACGTAAGTTTCACCAAGGGTCCTCATACACACAACCTCATCCAGGAGACGTAGGCCGATGTGAACAATGATAAGTCATGTTGCTGGGCCGTAGCCTTGATATGATGTCCTGAGAATGGCACTTTATACCCTGAGCTCTCTTCTCCAAAATATAGAAGCCCAAGATAATCATGAGGAAAGTACCATATTAATCCTGAGGTCCATTCTACAAGATACCTGACTAGTACTCAAGTCTGTCAAGATGATCAACAATGAGGAAAATCTGGGAAAATGGCCTAGCAAAGAGGAGTCAGAGGAGACACGATTACAGAATGAGATGTGGTGTCTGGGTGGGTTCTTGAAACAGAAAAAGGACATTAGGTAAAGAAAATGTAAATCTGACTAAATCAAGTTGGAGTATCAAGCAAGACATTCAGGATTTCTAAGGGTTAGTTCTGAGGAGAGCTCACTTACAAGCTAATCACTATTTAAAAAAAAAAATCACACCTTGTAGTTGTGTTGTAGTGGCCCCACATTCGTACACCGTGTGGCTTCCAGGTGGAGGCCTCCTCCCTTTGCCAGAGGCTGCAATGACAAACTCATCACTCACAGTGATGTGTGCTGTCCCCAATACTCCAGGAGTCCAGGAAGGGCTGGGCTTCCTTTTATGTGCTGGGAAGCCAAAGAAACAAGGATTTTTCCATCACTGCTGGATGGAGGGACTGAGCCCTGTGACCCTGCCCTATGGTGCCGGTGACCTTTCACTGGGAGACCGGACTCTGAATTGGGTGGGTTAGGTCAGCCACCCCTACTGGCACAGAGGTGACAGCGCGTGAGACAGGGCCTCTGTCTGATTGAGACTGAGGCCTCTAACTTGTCAACAGAGAACACATCAGGTATGTGATGAAATTTTATATTTGGTGGTCATGTCTCCTCCGGCTCTTCTTTGCTGTGACCATTTATCAGAGTTTCCTCATTTTTGACAATCATAATAAAGGCAAACCATGAAGTATATGTTACCTGGTATGAATACTGCTGTGCCAAGTTGTTTTGTTTTCAATTCCATAAAATGTATTTTTCAGTTTTGTACCTCAATTCTTATTTTTGACTTTATTCTTACACCCTACTTCGATCCTGTAGGTCTTGACAAAACATTTAAAAACATGTATACATTTGACCCCCTTTCTTTGGAAGTGCACACTTAGTATTTGTTAGGTGTCAACCTAGAAATTTCAGCATGATTCGAAAAACTAATCACAGAGTCCTTTTTGTCAATACATTTAAACTCTTTCTTGACCATGTAAAGGCATTATGCATAAATCTCACAATAGCTCATGATTTTATTGGTGATGTGTATTTTAAAATTTTACAGATACAGTAATACAGTACACAGGTCAACGACACGACGCACACCGATCACATTTCTGTACGCAGCACAGACATCAATGCACAGATACCATCAGACCCCCAGAAACCCCCGTCTGCTGCAGGCTGCACTGCTCTTGTGAGAGAGAGAAAAACTCATAAAAATTTTTTAGGACTGTGAGGGGGGTGAGTGAATTGGCAACTGTATGTTGTAGAAGTACATACAGTCTACATGTTTTTCTGAAGACAAGGAGATCTTATATTCCTGCTCCAGGCAAACCAGAGCCTGGGTACCTTGGGTACCTTGGAGTTGTGGCTCATGAGCAGAAACGGACTGACAGATGGGAAACACACAGACATGACTGCAGTGACATTTATGAGGATCGAGCTGGGATTATCAAAAGCAGTCAAAACAACTTGAAAAATGGAGGAGAGGGTGTAAAAATAGACAAAGGTGCTCACCAGGAGAAGGATGGTTTTGGTGGCTCTGGACTCCGGGGAGGATGCAGAAGAAGCATTGGTTCTTCGAATATGTTGGACTCGCTTCTTGTGCCTGTACAGAAGGAAAACCATGGAGCTGCTGGCCCAGAGCATGAGCCCCAGACATAACACATCGGGGAATGATAACAACAGTCCATACAGTGAGTCACTAGTTTTGTCATGACGAACCGAAGAACAGTATCCAAAATCCTTTCTGTTTGTGATGTTCTTATCACTCAATGTTCTCATTAAGTATATAGGGAAAATGATATTCACCAGCATTTGCAGGACCCAACACAGGAAAATAGAGGGGGAAAGGTATTTGGGCGCTTTAACTTTAAGCTCTGCCCACCTGGAGTTCCCAGGGCTGATGGTGATGGCCTGGTAGACGCTCAAGATGCAGATGCTACCAATGGACACTCCCCTCCCCACTCTGTGAAGAAGGGAAAGAAGTTTGCATCCAATGTCACTGAGGAAATGTTTCCGCCCAAATGCTGCCACGGTCTGGGGGACTCCTTTGCAGAGTAGGGCTAAGAAGTTGGCTACAATCAGGTGCTTATGAATGAAATCTGTGGACTTCCACCTGTACTCAGTGAAGGAAAGGATGATATAATGACAAAGAAGTGAGAAATTGCCCAGGATTCCAACGGTAGTCTGTGTTAAGAAGATCAGGCCGATGGCCAGATCCCATTTGGCCATTCTCTCTGGTCCCAGTCACTGACCGTTGCCTTCGGGGCTAGAATTTCCTGCATGGGAATATGAGGTGTGGGCCACATATATCATGTCAGCTGAAATCCACTATGTTCTGCTTTCCAATCCTTGCCACTTGGAAACACCTACTTACAGTTTTCTTTTCATAGTTGCTTTCCGAGGGCTGAATGTAGAACTTTTCGAGAGCCCTTATAATGTAAAATCACTCCTGTGAAGGTCAGTCCTGTGAAGGCACTCACGTGAGAACTTCTTCATGCTCCATACATCTATGAGGTCGGCATTACTGTGGCTGTAATTAAAAGATGAACAGAACAGACACACAGAGAGGTTAAGGATCTGTCCAAATCTGCTGCTTCAGTCTGCGTGGGGACTGGGAACCGGTTGGGCTGGAAACCGTGATAGTGCACTGAGCCCCCACGGTCTGCTAGACGGCTAGTTAGCTGTGTCCATCCAGGAATCAGATCCATGGCTCCTTCTGATTTGACACCTTGTGGTTAACTTCAGAGTAGGGCGTATTGTATAATTTTCATCACAACAAGTTTCCATTAATTTGTAAAACTTTATTCCACAGGATAATATCAATTATGGGTAAGCCTTGAATACCTTGGTGAACGTGCATGCGCTCTGGCAATAGCATGCTGCAGGAATCTGCAGTTGTATGTAGTAGATGCAAGATGGCAACAGAAAGACTCATGTGCTTTTATGTGAGGAACACAAGTGTAATGGGATTACACTGCAACTGCTGAATTATCACAACAATCCCATAAACTTTGGCACATGAAACACGGATGCATGATAAAATGGTGTAAGGCAGACTCTAAGTTACCCTTAATTTCGAGTGATACACTATGTACTTATTAGTGAGTACTTACGTGAATTAAGGAAAACTATTAGCAATGAACTAAGATTTGGGAAATATTAAACGCATCACTGTAAAATGACCTCTGTAAGGCATGTATCTTACACAGTTTAGGATTCAAAATACTCGGTTTTTGTCTTGATGGTAGAGTAATTTTTAAACACCTGGAAAGAACATGATATGAACCTGAAAGCTGCTGTCTGAAAATCACCGTTTTTATGTCAACTGTCCCTTACCTGTTCATTTCCTAACTTTCAGAATGAGTATAGTTTCACTGTAATCAACAGATGATGATGTCTTCCATGGGGACTCAGTTACTGTCCCCATGATTGTGTGCTACATCCAAGGTTACAGGAAAACTTTCAATTCAAGACATTACCATTTGGATACACGTTCTGCACAGGATCAGAAGATTCCTGTAAATTCTTCATACATTTCACTACAACCATGGAGCTGTGAGAGTTGCACATCTAGTAACCCTGAAAATTTAGCCTATAATTCCTATAATGTTAGAGCAGGAGATAGATTTCAAAATTCATTTCTTAAGGACTTAAAAATCAGTGTATATTATTACTTGCACTGAACACCAGGAATCACACTGAGCGAAGTTTAACTTCACTGAATTAAGAGCCATCAGGGACAGGTGAAGGTCTAGGACCCCACATCCTCTTAACTAGCTCAGCTCAAACCTCAGAAATACTGCACATTCCTGCATGGCTTTCACAGTGAATTAGGTAATCCACAGAATAGCACCCTTTTCTGACAGGATCACTCACCCAGACTCTTGATACAGACACTGCCTCTTAGACTGAAATGGATCCTCACCAACTCCTTCCTGCTGCCTGAGGGGCTCCATGTGAAGGGCACAGCAGCCAGTGGGAGGGGCCAGCCAGACCCTGAGATATAGGTTTGTGATTCTGTGAGGTCACCTGTCTCGCCACTGCAATTATTTCATTTACAGCTGCACTGGGAATACAGGTTTGGGAGCTGAAGATGTTCCTGAAACTTTTCTCTCATGTGTTAATTATGATGAACAATTATGACTTTCTGGTTAGAACCTTGTAGGAGACTATTTGTGGGAGGCTTGTTTTTTTCCCCCTCAATCCCTGTAGGTAGACGTGTCTCCTGTTAAGCACGGCAGGAAATAGTGTGTTCTGACACGTGAGGGATTAGTGGGGAAGGATGTGTATCTCCCTGGGTTCTTCACTTCCCAGAGAGGTTCCTCTACCCAGAAACTAGTACTTTCCTAATCCTCAGGCCACTGAAAGGAACCATCAGGTAAGGTTATTAGTAGAGAAACAGAATGAGACAAAATACTTGGGAACAATATGCAGAGATACAAGCAAAAGGAAGAACATGATGTAAATAACTCACTATAGGATTCATTTCACACAAAGTTAATATGACATGTTTGAATGATTCAGTGCCAATTAATTTGAAGATTGTGTAGGAAAATTGGTTTTACCATTATTGACCCCATTGATAAGGATTAAAGACTGGACAATACCCAGAGAGGAAAGAGAGAAGTTTCTAAGAGTCTCTTCTCACAGACTAAAGCAGTAGGATCAGATGGCTTAACCAGAAGTTTCTCCCAACCCATAAATGTTGGATGAGCCCATCCTCAGTTACTTAATTCAAGAGGATCAAAGAGCTCCAACAGTTCTGTACGCTTCCCCCCGCCCCCCCTGAATTTTCAGTAATGAGCACTTACTGCTTTGGTAAGAAGAAACACAAAGTAGGAGTTGAAACAGATCCTGTGGTTTTCCCTGCAGACAATTCCACTGTTGAAGTTCCTTGTGCAATTACTAGCCATTTTCAAGTCAGAGCCATAATGATGGGCAACTCAGACTGCACACAAACGTTAATGGTTTACACACTTACATACATCCGCAAACACACGTGTATATCCACCCAACCTCACATATACTCACATACTATTAGACCCATACGTGGTCATTCGTGTACTCACAACTGTAATTGAAATTCACAAGTATTCAGGCACATCCTAAACACTTAGAAATTCACCCCATTGACATTTATATTCACCACACCTTCACACTAACTCACAGTTCACAATCAGTTTGATAAAATCAACATACGCTTTCATCGTGGGTGTGTGTGTCTTGATGAAACGTTCAAATGCAGAAAAAGAGGAGTACCTCCAGACTTCTGGGCTGTCTGGAGGCCTTTATTATCATTTGTAATGCTTTCAAGCCCTAAACTACCCATACGGAGAATATATACAATATACAGTCTTTTTTTTTTTAACGTTTTTATTTATTTTTGGGACAGAGAGAGACAGAGCATGAACGAGGGAGGGGCAGAGAGAGAGGGAGACACAGAATCGGAAACAGGCTCCAGGCTCTGAGCCATCAGCCCAGAGCCCGACGCGGGGCTCGAACCCACGGACCGCGAGATCGTGACCTGGCTGAAGTCGGATGCTTAACCGACTGCGCCACCCAGGCGCCCCCAATATACAGTCTTAAAAATGGCTTTGAGCATCACCGCTCTAAGCCGGATGTGTGGTGGGGATGTTGGGGTGTGGGGGGAGTGGCAGTGCATGGGTGTGTGACAGAGCAGGTGAGAGAGAGGGCATAGGAAAGAAGAACATAGAGACAACATGGTGCAGAGGTCCTGGGGGGAGGGAAGAAAATACCGCAGGAGAAGAAACAAGGTAGAGGGATAAAAGACAAACGTGTGCTCAATGCCACAGGGGAGTTGCCACGTTTGCTGGTACGTGGAGACATAGTGTGCTGGGAAGTGATCGGTATGAGGCACACTGGGATCTTGGGAAAAAGAGGTGCAGAGTGTCATGGGGTGGTAGGGGATAATGGAAGCGGACACTTCGTAGGGAAGATGTTAATGGTCGGTGTGGGTACGAGACACACAAGACAGTGGCTTGGAGTGGTGAGAATAATGGTGGGAGGATGAAGGGAAAAAGTGTGGGGCGGGTGTGCTTTGGAGAGGGCAGCGTGGCCCAAGGCAATAGAGAATGTCTGAAGAGGAGAGGAACCCTGGAGGAGACCTTGAACAAGGCAAAAGAGGCAGAGGGCATTCAGGGGGCCAGTGAGGGAATCCAGGAGAAAGGGTCAGAGGAGATCGGGATGGAGTAATGCATGTGGGTGCGGATTGGATTCCTGCAGGAGTGGAGGCTGGGGCACCGCAAGGTGTGGGTGTAGAGGACCCAGGAAATGGGTGAGATACTGGTATTGGGAGTGGAATTTCGGCAAGACAAAGAAAGGGCGGGACCTCACCGGTCCTGGGGGTGATAGAAGGCAAGGAGGGTGGCACTGGAGTCCCTGGAATAGCGGTCACCTAGAGACAGATGTCAAAAAGGTGACGGGAAGGAGGTTGGAGTGGGATGCAGAAGTCTCCTAGGGCTGAGTCCAGGTGAGGGATGTGTGGAGGTTTAGCAGGTGACTGGGGCTCCCAGGGTGGGGGCATGAGGACCCTGGTGGGAGAGGAGCATACGGTGGGGAAGGGGAGCCAGGGAACTGGGAGGGTGCGAGTGGCACAAGGCAGATTGGAGGTCACTGCTTGACACCCATTCGTTAATTCTCGATTTACGGGCAAATATCAAGTGTCATGGATAGTTAGTTCCTAATTTCAGCTCAGGAGGCAAAACTCTTGCTCAATTAAAACGTGCCCCCACGTCATGAACTAGAGCATACAGTACAGGAGGGAAGGTGCAGTTTTGGGTAGCAAATCTCAGCCATTCCTTGGGAAACCAGGTGCAGGATGTGACTGGTCGGTCAGGCTGGAGAGGCTTTTACTGGTATCCAGAGTTGCAAGTGGGGGAAAGAGCTGTCTCATCCCAAACTCTGCATCTCTGTTGAAGAACTGTTATGGGTCAAGGACATTTTATGCCCCAACATTGATCTGATGAAGATTCTTTTAGGTATTGTGATATTTCTAAGACCTAACCCTTTGTTTTAACAATATGAGCTTTAAGAACACTTAAGCTTTTAGGATACCTGAAAATTGGAGAGAAATTCACCCGTGTTTTTTCATTCTAAGAAACCATATGAAAAGGGAACCAGAGGGGAGAGAGTTGTGAATGTATTGAAAATTCTAAAAAAAAATTTTTTTTACAGAATTTCCACTGATTTCATAATAATTACAGGCAGATGTCCAATTGGAGGGTGACTCTCCTCGCTTTGTTATGATACCAAGTAAGATGGATTTGGAGGATTTAAGGTTACTAATGAAATTACCTTTAAGCACCTATGTTATCCTAGATGATCTGCTGGATCCAGAGTAATTCCAAGATCCTTAAAGAGAGAGAGAATCCAGAGATATTAGATACAAGAGGAAATCAGAGATTTGAAGCATAAGGACCGTTGCTGTCTTTGAGCCTAAGTGTAGGTGGGCACATGTGGAAACCACAAGATGGCAATTAATTGTGCTAACGACCTAAAAGATGATAGAAGTGGAATATTACGTAGGATCTGGAGAAGGAAGTCCAAGCTGATTGACACCTTGATTTAGAAGGCGACATTGTAATCAGTACCCAGCCAAGACCCCAAGGGTTTTCATCTAAGAACTGTTATGAAAATAAATTTGTGCCTTGTTTTTAAATATCTGCTAAGTATTTATAGCAGTGCAAGTGACTAAATGTGTATTCTTCCAACTCCCACCCCCACCCTTAATCCCATGGTGAAACCGAATCCCCAGCATTTGGAGAAGGGGCCTTGTGGTGATGAGGGTGAGCTCTCCTGAATGAGAACATTGACCTGTAAAAATGACCCCAGAGCTTTCATTGAACCCTTCCACCAAGAGAGTACACAGTGATAGGATGGCTATATACGAGCAGGAAGTGGGCACAGGATATGATAGTTGTTAACACTTCCCAGGTGATCGTCAGGGGAAGCCAACAATGACAACCACTTTGCCAAACACTGCCTCTCAAAGTATTGTGTGTATGTGAATCTCCTGCATTTGTGTTGAAACAGAGTCTACAGGAGAACCCTACTCTAAGAGATTGAGATACAGCTGCGGTCCGGCCGATGAATTAGCATTTTCTTTCTTTTTTTTTTTTCAACCTTTATTTATTTTTGGGACAGAGAGAGACAGAGCATGAACGGGGGAGGGGCAGAGAGACAGGGAGACACAGAATCGGAAACAAGCTCCAGGCTCTGAGCCATCAGCCCAGAGCCCCACGCGGGGCTCGAACTCATGGACCGCGAGATCGTGACCTGGCTGAAGTCGGACGCTTAACCGACTGCGCCACCCAGGCGCCCCTGAATTAGCATTTTCAACAGAGTCTCTGGTGGTGCTGCTGCTTCTCTCCCCAGAACTGTTTCCACAGCATCCCCCACCCAATCCCCCTTTCGGTAGCACTAGAGAGAGCAAGCAGAGCACACCTGACCCTCTTACTCGCTAACGTCCCATCTCAACACAGATGCTGTGGGTTCCTCACATGTAGCAAATGAAGAGGAAGGAACGGAACCAGCACAGGTGATTCCCGTGGGGACGGAGGGGCTGCTAGAGGGAAAGTCTGAGGACCGTCCAGGGAAGCCGGAGCGCGCAGGTGCACGTGGCAGGTCCCAGGAGGGGGTTGGCCTTCTTGGGCGGCCTCTGCGCAGGCGCGAGCTCTGGGACGGGCGTGTGGGCGTGGCTACGGCCTCGTTGCGCCTGCGCGCATGGCCGGCAGGGTCAGGTGACCGTTGAGCTCCAGCAGACGCCCTTGGCCCTTCCAGGTGAGGACCTGGCTCAGAGCTGCGGCTTCTCCTCCTGGAAGGTTAGTTCTCAGGGAGTGTGGGCTGGCGGCGGCCTGGGGGTGCTTGCGGGCCCCAGGGAGGGACGGGACCGCGTGCTGAGGGCAGCTCGGCTCTGGGCTCACGGCTGCCCGGAGCCTGCCCGCGACAGGCGTGTGTCAGGGTCGCGTGAGAGGGACAGATTCGCACTAGAGTCTGGTGGCGCTTTTAACCGTGTGTCTTCGGTGACGGGTCCCAGTACCCGGTGCTGCCCTCGAGGGCGTCTAGGTTGGAATGGAGGAAGGATTTGGCTTCCCGGGTGGGGGTGGGGTTGAGGGGAGTTGCGATGTTCGCCCTTTGGTGCGCACGCACGAGGTCCTGGGCTGCAAGGGAGTGGAATGAGCGAGTTCCAGGACCCACCTGGAGAGGAGAGAGCGCGTGTTAGTGCCAAGATGGGTTTTGTGCTTCCATTTGTGGCTGCAGGTAGAGCGGAATATGAGCCCTGGTCAGTGAGCTTGGGTTGCAATGATCTCGTGGGGGTGGTCGAGGGGTCCAGATGTTGGGGGATCAGGTGTGGTCTGGAGGTCCCGAGCGTGACGGGGGCAGGATGGGCCGGAGACTTGGGCATAATGCGAGGTGGGTGAGGGGGCGCGTGTAGCAGGACCAGCACTGTTGGGAGGCCTCCTCAGCTGCGGTCTGGTTGTGTGCGGGGCTGAGCCAGCCCGGTGTCCAGGCGCCGGCGCAAGTGTGGGCCGAGCACCGAGCACGCCGCTTCTGGCACTCGTGATCCACGTGGCAGGTGCAAGCGCTCGGGGCCCAGACGCCGCCGGAGGAGAGCCGAGCTGCCAGCCATGTGCAGAGGCCGGACCTCCAGGGCCTCCACGCGGCCACCTCGCTTGACTGGTGTCTTCACCTGGACCCGCGTGCTTCTGGAGGAGTGGCGCGATGTCCCGGCATAAGTCTTGAAAATTGCACTGCACGTTGCCCGCCGATTCTTCTCCCGGTCGGATTTGTCTCAGAGATTCTCGCAGCGCACACGTGAAGGTAGTTTCATCCCAGATTTGTTTGAACACGAACAAGTGGAAGTATTTTAAACGGGCAACAATAGATGTTTGAATTATGTGTGTAAGGGACTGAAGCCTTTGGAACTGTTACCTGAAATGTATATTCGATGACATACAAAGATATCTGTAACCCATATAAGTAAAAGCGGTTATAACACAGCCTTTAGAGAGTGTCAGCTTATTGTCACCTTTTGAGTGCAATATTATGTATCCTAAGCTGTTATATATTCACAACAAACGGTTAAGCGTTGATTTCACTGGGCTATAGGACCACAGGCGGTTTTTTCCTCATGTAGTGATAGTTTCTCGTGTTAATAAAGTGTATCGGTTAAGATCAAGTTTAAAAGTATAATCATTTTTGTTCTCAGATACTTTTAATTACATTCTACCTCTTTCAAATGTTATATATGGTAATGTGTTCATTCTCTACAAAGCATTGTAGTTAAATCATCCCTCTAAGAATAAGGTAGGTTGAATATTTAGATTGTCAGAATAGCACAATTTAATGGTCCTTTTCCAAAAGTTTTCATTAAGTGATTTATAGAGACGTTTAGCATTATACAACATTGGTTCTTGACTAGGGACAATTTGGCCCCCTCCTCCTCTGTCTGTGATCATTTGGCCATATTCAGTGATCTTTATTTCTTGGCATGAGTGAGGCGTAGGTTGCTTTGCCACATAGGGAGTGCAATTAGAGATACTGGGAAACATCCTACCCTGCAGCAGGCCAGCTCCACCAGAGAGAAGTATCTGGGTCAAAGGTCAGTAGTGCCAGGGTTGAGAAACAATAGCCCAAAAGTCTGATGATTTTTCTTCTATAAACTTCTCATTCTCGGGGGGGGGGGGGCGGAGGAAGATAGAAGCGTGGAATTTGTGGAAGAAAGGATGAAACCTGTGAGGTTGAATTGCAGCTGGAAATTCCAGTGTGAAATTGTTTTGTTTTTAATATAATTTGTCAAGTTGACTAACAGACAATGTTATACAGCGTGCTCTTGGTTTTAGGGTAGATTCCCATGGCTCATCGCTTACATACAACACCCAGTGCTCATCCCAACAAGTGCCCTCCTCAGTGCCCATCACCCATTTTCCCCTCTCCCCTCCCCCCATCCACCCTCAGTTTGTTCTCTGTATTTAAGAGTCTCTTATGGTTTGCCTCCCTCCCTCTCTGTAACTATTTTTTTTCCCCTTCCCTTCCCCCATGGTCTTCTGTTAAGTTTCTCAAATTTCATATATGAGTGAAAACATATGATATGTGTCTTTCTCTGATTGATTTATTTCACTTAGCATAATACTCTCCAGTTCCATCCACATTGCTGCAAATGGCAGGGTTTCGTTCTTTCTCATTGCCAAGTAGTATTCCATTGTATATATAAACCACATCTTCTTTATCCATTCATCAGTTGATGGACGTTTAGGCTCTTTCCATAGTTTGACTACTGTTGAAAGCACTGCTATAAACATTGGGGTACATGTGCCCGTACGAATCAGCACTCCTGTATCCTTTGGATAAATTCCTAGTAGTGCAATTGCTGGCTTGTAGGGTAGTTCTAGTTTTAATTTTTTGACGAACCTCCACACTGTTTTCCAGAGTGGCTGCACCAGTTTGCATTCCCACCAGCAGTGCAAGAGGGTTCCCATTTCTCCACATCCTCTCCAGTATCTGTAGTCTCCTGATTTGTTCATTTTAGCCACTCTGACTGGCGTGAGGTGGTATCTCAGTGTGGTTTTGATTTGTATTTCCCTGATGATGAGTGATGTTGAGCATGTTTTCATGTGTCTGTTGGCCATCTGGATGCCTTCTTTGGAAAAGTGTCACCTATTCATGTCTCCTGCCCATTTCTTCACAGGCTTTTTAGTTTTTTGGGTGTTGAATTTGGTACATTCTTTATAGATTTTGGATACTAACCCTTTATCCGATATGCCATTTGCAAATATCTTTTCCCATTCTGTTGGTTGCCTTCTGGTTTTGTTGATTATTTCCTCTGCACTGCAGAAGCTTTTTATCTTGATGAGGTCCCAATAGTTCATTTTTGCTTTTAATTTCCTTGCCTTTGGAGATGTGTTGAACAAGAAATTGCTGCGGCTGAGGTCAAAGAGTTTGTTGCCTGTGTTCTCCTCTAAGGTTTTTGATGGTTTCCTGTCTCACATTTAGGTCTTTTATCCATTTTGAGTTTATTTTTGTATACGGTGTAAGAAAGTGGTCTAGTTTCATTCTTCTGCATGTTGCTGTCCAGTTCTCCCAGCACCATTTGCTAAACAGACTGTCTTTTTTCCATTGGATCCTCTTTCCTGCTTTGTGAAAAATTAGTTGGCTGTACATTTGTGGGTCCAATTCTGGGTTCTCTGTTTTATTCCACTGGTCTGTGTGTCTGTTTTTGTGCCAATACCATACTGTCTTGATGATTACAGCTTTGTAATCGAGGTTAAAGTCTGGGATTGTGGTGCCTCCTGCTTTGGTTTTCTTTTTCAACATTACTTTGGCTCTTCGAGTCTTTTTTGGATCCATACAAATTTTAGGACCGTTTGTTGTATCTTTGTGAAGAATGGCGGTGCAATTTTTATTGGGATTGCATTGAATGTGTAGATTGCTTTGGATAGTATTAACATTTTAACAATACTTATTCTTGCAATCCATGAGCATGGAATGTTTTTCCATTTCTTTGTGTCTTCTTCAAATAACTTTGTAAGTTTTCTATAGTTTTCAGCATACAGATCTTTTACATCTTTGGCTAGTTTTATTCCTATGTATTTTATGGTTCTTGGTGCAATTATAAATGGGATCTATTTCTTGATTTCTCTTTCTGTTGCTTCATTATTGGTGTATAGAAATGCAACCATTTTCTCTACATTGATTTTGTACCCTGCAACTTTGTTGAATTCATGTGTCCGTTCTAGCAGCTTTATGGTTAGAGTCTTTCAGGTTTTCTATGTAGAGTATCATGTCATGCAAAAAGTGAAAGTTTGACTTCTTCTTTGCCAATTTTGGTGCCTTTTGTTTTATTTTGTTGTCTGACTGCTGAGCCTGGGACTTCCAATACTATGTTAAACAACAGTGGTGAGAGTGGACATCCCTCTCATGTTCCTGATCTCATGGGGAAGGTTGTCAGTTTTTCCCCATTGACGATGATATTAGCTTTGGGCTTTTGATATGCGGTTTTTATGATGTTTAGGTAAGTTCCTTCTATTCCTACTTTCTTGAGGGCTTTTATTAAGAAAGGATGCTGTATTTTGTCAAATGCTTTTTCTGCATCGATTGACAGGATCATATGGTTCTTATCCTTTCTTTCGTTAATGCAGTGTATCACATTGATTTGCAAATATTGAGCCAGCCCTGCAGCCCAGGAATGAATCCCCCTTGATCATGGTGAATAATTCTTTTTATATGCTGTTGAACTCAATTTGCTAGTATCTTGTTGAGAATTTTTGCATCCGTCTTCATCAAGGATATTGGCCTGTAATTCCCCTTTTTTGTGGGGTCTCTGTCTGGTTTGGAAAGCAAAGTAATGCTGGCTTAGTAGAATGAGTCTGGAAGCTTTCCTTCTGTTTTGATTTTTTGGAACAGTTTGAGAAGAATAAGAATTAACTCTGCTTTAAATTTCTGGTAGAATTTCCCTGGGAAGCCATCTGGCCCAGGACTCTTATTTGATGGGAGATTTTTGATAACCGATTCAGTTTCTTCACTGGTTATGGGTCTGTTCAAATTTTCTGTTTCTTCCCGTTTGATTTTGGTAGTGTGTGGGTATCTAGGAATTTATCCATTTCTTCCAGGTTGTCCAATTTGTTGGCATGTAATTTTTTATACTATTCCTTGATGATTGCTTGTATTTCTGAGGGGTTGGTTGTGATAAGTCCAATGTCATTCATGGTTTTATCTATTTCGGTCCTCTCTCTTTTCTTTTTGAGAAGTCTGGCTAGGGGTCTATCAAGTTTGTTTTTTCAAAAAGCCTGCTCTTAGTTTCATTGATCTGTTCTACTGTTGT